TAACTAGCTCAAAATCCAACCATCTTCTTGCAGAGATTTATCGTACAATGTGTTATCCGGTAGCTTTCCATCTTGGGTCGGCGAACAGAACCTTCAACTGTATGATAAAAAAAAATCCAGTTTCTCTACATTTTTCGTTCGATCCATTTTTTTAATCTAGTTTCATTTTTTCTCTTTTGGTGTAGCAATTTGGTATCCAACAACTTCACCATCACTAGTTCTAACAGGTGCAAATGTACTAAATACACACATTTTACATGCTAATAAACTTCTACTTAAAATTTGCTTCAATTCTTGTTTTTTCTTGGATTTTACCTAACTTATCCTTCTCTGTTTTTGCTTTCTAGTGCTTTGCCTTCCGGTTTGAATTGTCTTCAGATGAACTTTCCATGCGGACGAGGGAACCCGACTTGTAAGTTAATTGTTCTTTTTTATTTTTTATTTTAACTTCTCAATCTAATATTTCACCTTATTATCCTTCTGTATATAGATTCCAGCTTTGCAATTAACAGTGGCGGGCCGCCCATCCGTTCTTCGGATCAACTTCTGTTTGAAAGCGACAACGAGACATTGGGCCCGGCAATGTACTACGTGACCGCTTCACGTAGATGGGCCGTGAGCAATGTGGGCCTCCCATTAGGCAGCATCAGCCCACAATACCAATACAATTCCCAATCCCAATCCCAATTCACAAATACTCAAGACTCGGATTTATTCCGAGACGCCCGTATCTCGGCCGGGTCTTTGAGATACTACGGACTAGGCCTCGAAAATGGGAACTATACCGTTCGACTACATTTTGCCGAGATAGTGATTTCGAGCTTCCGGACTTGGAGGAACCTCGGGAGGCGTGTTTTCGACATATACATTCAGGTTCGTTTTTTGAGTTGGAATACTACTTATAGCTTATTTGATTAACTTATAACTTTCCTGTATTCATTCAAATAAGTTTGGTTTAGTAAGACTCGATCTTATCTCATAAGTTTCTTAGCTAGCTTTTCAAATAAGCCGATTGAAATTATTATTTCAGCTGTCAGTTAATTTTACTAAACACTTTTTATCATATTAGCTAGTTTTTTCAGTCATAAGATTATATAAGCTATAAGTTCGAAATTCACTTTATCAGCTAGTTTTACCAAACACAGCCTCAGTCAATAAATGCGGCGTTCCTGGTTTTAGTGACTCGATTTTTAAATCGTGATGCAGGGGAATTTGGTGCAAAGAGATTTCGACATTCGACGAGAAGCTGGTGGGGGGTTCGATTTGAGAACCGTCACGCGGGATTACAGGGCTCGGGTGCTCGAAAATTATCTCGAGATCCATTTGTTTTGGGCCGGGAAAGGCACTTGCTGCGTACCAGCTCAAGGGACTTACGGGCCTTTGATCTCGGCTATAAGTGTAACACCAGGCATGCAAAGAGACTATAATGTTCTCAAAATTAACCAACTTTGTGAGTATTTACTAATACTGATAACTTTTGGTCATTTTTTTTCGGCAGATTTTGTGCCGACAGTGTCGAATAATCCGCCAGGTGGGAACAAAAACAGGACGGGTTTGATTATCGGGATTGTTGTCGGTGCCTCGGTTTTAATAATCTTTGTTGCTCTAGGCGTTTTTTATATATATAGAACGAAACAAATGCAGAGAAGAAAAATCGAGGATCAAGGTAAGCATGCAGATTTTTAATGGATTTAGTTTTACAAGCAGATTTTTAATGGATTTGGTAAAAAAAACATGAAAAATGTGTCTTACTACATTTACAGAGTTATTAGGGATCGAAAAACGGACTTATACATTCAGTTATTCCGAACTAAGAGCTGCAACGAATGACTTCAGTCCAGATAATAAACTCGGTGAGGGAGGATTTGGACCCGTTTACAAGGTAAAAAATCGTTATATTACCACACGAGAAAATTTATGTCGATTTTTTTCTTGAATATACGTGTCGACATTTACAGGGAATTCTTGCTGATGGGAGAGTAGTTGCGGTTAAGCAGCTTTCGGTAGCATCACAACAAGGAAAGAGCCAATTTGTGGCTGAAATCGAAACTATATCCACCGTGCAACACCGTAACTTAGTTAAACTATACGGTTATTGCATTGAAGGAGAAAAACGGTTGCTTGTTTACGAGTACTTGGAGAACAAGAGTCTTGATCGGATGCTATTCGGAGACGGTAATTCCACAAGCTCTTCAACCTTTCTTTTTGCCTCGAAATTCAATTTATTTCTTCTAATATATTAATTGATAGGGAGCAAAAGTCTCGACTGGTCAACACGTTACAACATATGCTCGGGAGTGGCTAAGGGACTCGCGTATCTTCACGAAGAGTCTCGAATGCGGATTGTTCACCGAGACGTGAAGGCTAGCAATATACTTCTCGATTCCGAGCTCGTTCCAAGAATCTCGGATTTCGGGTTGGCCAAATTGTACGACGATAAGATGACACATATAAGCACTCGAGTTGCGGGCACGATGTAAGAAAATCGAGTTCCCTTTTCTACTTTCTTGTCTTCAATTTTTTTTATTAAATCAAGTTCTCTTTTGTGAAGTGGGTATCTAGCGCCGGAATATGCCATGTTCGGACAGCTTACGGAAAAAGCCGATATATTCAGCTTTGGAGTTTTGGCTCTCGAGACCGTGAGTGGAAAACCGAACTCCGAGTCTAGTTTGGAAGACGACACGATATATCTTCTCGAGAGGGTATTTAACAATATATATATATATATATATATATATATATATATAATATAAATCGAAGTAAACTCGAACGTTAATAATTTTCAGGCTTGGAACCTTCACGAAAACAAGAAAGAACTCGATCTAGTCGACCCGAATATGCACAAATACAATGAAAACGAAGTGAAGAGGATAATCGGGATTTCACTTTTGTGCACGCAAGCTTCGCCGGCCCTTCGGCCATCCATGTCTCGTGTGGTGGCTATGCTCTCTGGGGAGATGGAAGTGCCCACGGTTAACACGAGGCCGGGTTATTTAACCGGGTGGAACTTTAATGATGCGACTATATCTGCCTCGGGTGAAAATGTGTTGGGTTATTCGCCCGAAAATGATGCAAAAGCCATGCTTCACGAGAGAATTGATGAGGGAAGATGATGATCCGGGTTCTTGATCGAAGCATAACAATATCGATAGAATGAAGAAAGCATAAATTGTTCGTGTATCGATTGAACATAACAAAGAACTACTTGAGGTTTGTATTCGTTTAGAATATAATCGAGTTCCTTTTTTTTTATTATTATTATTATACTCAGTTAGAGAAAACCAGAGAGTGCTTTTGTAATTATCAGACAACCACCATGAACACAGTGCAATTCTCAAGCTATAATCCAGTCCAACAACAAGATCAAAATATCATAAAAATGCAAGTAACCCCCCATTAGACATTTGATTTTCAACACAATCCAATCATCATCAAACTAACTCCAACAGGCAAAAACAAAAACCCAGAAAATTCAAATCCACAAATATATCTCTTCAAAAATAGTTCAAATTTCCTCATTTATTCCAAGCAATTCTCATCCGAAAGACAAAAAGAAAAAGCAGAACAAAATATTCTGCAAGATTGCATCTTTCACACCTTAAAAAACACCAAGAACAAGAATATAAAAAATATTATGTATTTGACATATAACTTAAAAGACCAAAAACAAGAATCAAAATCTACCCACACAACACAACCCTAATCAGACCCAACACCAAACAAGACACCGCAAGCAGAAACAGACTCCCAACATCCCGGCCCGACCATCTCCTTCCGGGCCTCCTCTCGACGACCCGGAGGCTCTTGGCCCGCCGGAGAGCATCAACCTCCCTCATCAGATCAAAGTCCGAGCCTTTCCGCCTTAGCTCCTCCACACACTTCCCGAGAAGCGACGAGTCCTCCTCTTCCCTCTCCAGAATCCTCTCCAGGCGGCTCCCGAGGCCCGATTTGTGCCGGACGGCCCAGATGAGGCCAATTGAGCAGGCGAGGGAGCAGAGGGAGGGGACCCACGAGCGGCGGCAGAGGCTTGGGTCGCCGGCGGCGGAGAAGAGGAGGAGGAGGGCGGCGGAGTGGAAGAGGAAGAAGAGGGCGTGGAGGGCGGCGAGGTGGGTTCGGGCCGAGTCGAGTTGGGTCTGGCGGAGGGAGATGCGGGTGAGGATGAGGTCTTGTTCCTTGAGCCACTGCTTGAGGAGGAGTTTGTGGGTCGGGTTGGAAGCAATTTGGTGGAGCGGGTGGGCCGGTTTTGGGTTTGGATCCATTTTATTTGTAAGATTTGGGAGAGAATTGGAGGATAGAGAGGAGAGATCAGAGGAAGGGATGAAGAGAGCAGAGGGTTTTGAAAGGGGGATTTTGTTCAATTTTTGGGTTGCAACGGTCGAATTTTGAATTTCTTTTTGAATAGCTATATTCATCTAGGACTAAAGTCGATAGTTTATACTTTATTGTGTGCTAAATATTATTCTATACTTGAGTTGCATGATTGAATCTTTGATAAAGTCAATAACTCATTGTATAGGACATAGCTTGTAGTGTTGTAATCGAAACGAACGAGCCGAGCTTGGGTATTTCGAGCTCGTGTTCGTTTATGTTCAAACACTGTTCGTGTTTGTTTGTTAATTTTTTGAGCAAAATATCATGTTCAAACTCGTTTGTTTAATTGTTTGTCAAAGTTCGAGTTCGTTCGTATACGAATAATTTATCCCTTTTTTTTTTTTTTTTTTATCCTCCCCCCACACTCCCTCCATCCTCCCTATCGAGTAAAATGACACTATCACCTTCACCCCACTCCCCACTTAATGACTGCATGGGAGCCTGTCGGGCCCGCACGCTAGTCCCGATCTTCTGCAAGTCAAGGCCCCGACCCGTTATCAGAAAACGAGTCAAGTACGCGGAAAAGCCTGTGCTCGATTTTCGACTGGGCGCTCGACTTGAGGCGCAATTGAAACTTCGGGTGGCTCATTTCGCAGTGTGTGGTCTGGCATCAGAGCTGAAAATGTTGTCGCCAAGGATTTTGAACATGCGTCGGAATTTGGAGCCCTTGGGGTAGTTTGGGGAGTTCTTGCTGAAAATGTGGTGGATGTTGAGTGGGATTGCTGGTGAAGAGCATGTCCATGTGGCAGAGCCACGGCCCGCGAAACCAGTATGTGTGGCCGCATTGGGCCAGGACCTCGGTCACCTTGTCATGGGCCCGGTGGAGGTATTGGGCCACCGCCGAAAGCATGCCGATCACGGGCCAGTTGGTGGGCTCGCACAGCTTTTTATGGGCTCGGGTCATTAAGTAGGATAGGATCAAGAGTGTGGTTATTAGGGTTATTAGTGATATGGAGGTATTAAAAAATGGCCATTATGGTATGGAGTATGAATGTTTTTTTTTTTCTTCTTATTTTTTTGTAGGGTTATATGTGTGTATGTGTGTGTGTATGTGTGTATGTGCTTCGGATGGCGGAGAACTATACTCGGGCAACCGCGACCTATTCGAAGGTAGGGGCCAGCGTATACACTACGCGTAGCATACGATGGAGGCCGCCCGATCAAGGATGGTTTAAAGTCAATAGAGACGGTGCGTTTAGCAAATCCACTGGAATGGGCTACGCGGGTGGCCTCATTAGGGACGAAGTCAGCCGATGGATAGAATGGTTTTATATGAATATAGGGTTCTGCACTATCACGGGAGCCGAGCTTTGAGGGCTCTTACAAGGGCTACACTTGGCTTGGGAATTGGGGCTTCGTCAGGTCATAGCAGAAGTGGATAGTAAATGTGTGACAAACATGGTCTGCGGCACTGAAAATGATTTTGGGAGGCACACATCAATAGTAAGGGTCATTCGAAACATGATACAGAATAATTGGAGTGTGAAGATCCACCATGTGCATAGAGATGCTAATTTCGCAGCAGACCACATGGCGAGTTTGGCGGCCTCATCTCCGCTTGGTCTCCAACGAGTACCAGATCCTCCTGTAGGCTTAGGACCATGGCTTGATCATGATATTATAGGGGGTTTCGTATCCTCGGCGCGTTTTAGCTTGACCGACCCTCTAGGCCTTTGGCCTCCTTCTTTGTACCGAAAAAAAAAAATAACACTGTGGAAGAATGGTAGGTTTTTAGCATTTATTATTTGCAACATATAAGCATCGGAGTTTATAGTACTATATATGGTAAGGAAATAGGGACAATAACTGAATTGCAACAAGAGAAAATTGATGTAAATTGAGCAATTGTACTGGGTAACAAAATAAATACTTTACTCTTAATTGGATCTTGAAGGGCATTAGGTAAAGACGTAAAGTTCCATTTATTCTAATCTGGTTCTTGTAATTAAGGATGACAACATTGGGTTTGCCTGTTTTGCAGATGTAATTTTGGGGATTATCCTACATATCTATAACTTCGCGGTATTTGTATCCATGGAGTTTGTTATATGGTCTAATAGGGTGAATTTCATTTTGCACTTGTGGTTATTACATTTACCTCTCATGCTGTTTTAACCGTCAAATTAACACACCTTCATAAAAGGATTTTTGATTGTTTAAGATCCAACGATAAAAACCCTTGTGGGGTACAATTCCCGCGAGATAGAATCGAATTTGACAGTATAGCCAATATTATTCCTCCTATGTCCTTACTTGAGGCTAAAGTATATCAAGCAGTTAAACATGTTGACTGAATTACCATAATATACCTTAAAAATTAAATTAAACAAGGTCAAATCTTAATTCTCTTCCAAATTGGCTCTCATAGGAATTCTTTTACGAGCAACCTTATATAAGAAAATGGCGATTGAAGCAGAAAAGCCTTTTCTGTTTGGGTTTAAGTCTTCAGATCCCCCCAATTGTGTTAAATTAAGAATCAATTAAAAAAAATAAAGGGCCCATCTATAAAAGAAACAAAAGAACGATCAAGAAATCAAGTGATAAAAAATCTTAAATTCAGTGCTGATATACTTCAGGGATATTAAGAACAAAATCTCATTATAGTTTTGATTAAATTCATGTTATTGGGCTTAAAGTTTAGTTGGATTTATTCAAGCTCATCTACAAAAGCAAACAAAACGGACCCTTTTAACATGTAAGTACGTATAAGTTTAATCCATGAAGGGCCCTCGAAAACAAATTGGATTAAATTTTAGAGATAATTATATCAGGTACGAATGAATTCAAAAATATTTACACATCTACCAATATTTGTTTTTATTAGCAGATTTAAAGAATATGCACAAAATATTTGCATATATACGTTTTCTAATATTTAATTGTTTCTTTTTTTAAATCTTGTTGTGATAAGGTAAATTAGGGCTTAATTGTAACTACTGATTTTATTATCAGTCGAATATCCTTCCCAGATTCCTACTTCTTTTTTCGGTTCTCTATCTTCTTCATCCTTCGGCGATTAGTTCTCTATCTCCTTCATCCTTTCCAAGTGGTATGTTTCTTTTCTTTTCTTTTTCCATCGTCTTCATCTATGAGAATTAATAATACCATAATTAATAGCTAAAATC